TTTCCTAAATAAAATAACTATTTACCAAATATCACGATAAAAATTAACCCACACGACACTGGCTCAAGCAAATCGTTAACAAGCATTGCCAGCAGTGTTATTTGTCAAAAATAGAATCCACAACTTTGAGTGATGCCACACTAATTTAGTATTAAAGTACTAGGCATTGGTATTACTGCGCTACGCAGCGCTTACGTTAATACTGTAGGTGGAGCTGCTGCGCCAACACCATCATATGAATAGCGCTAGCGCCATTAACACCAAGGAACACACACAATTCGCCTTAATTCTTTGAAAAATTACATGTACTTGGTTTTTGCTTTTGTGTGGTGAGAACGCCAGAAACTTATGTATCTTGGCAAATTTAAAGCCTTTTTAAGGAATGATGAGAATAGCGTGGCATTTACTACATTCCTAGCAGCTAAATTTGGTTGGCGGTACAAGCGTTGCTCAGCGAAAAGAAATAATATACTTGACACCACTGTGTTGTGTATGACACTGTATGAGGATGGGTACTGTGGTGACACTTAGCTGGCGCCGTGTTCAAATCAGTATACTGCGCTATTGCACTGACACCACAGGTGGCAGGAACCATGTCTATAAAGTACCTAAAAGTACAAAGAACGTATGCTTATGAGCACCGTTGTTCCGTAAGTGCTTGCTTTTATGCAAAGACTGTAGAATAACGAGCGTGTGAGACGTGGCAATATTGCCAACTTTTCCTCGTAATTCGCTGTCAAATTGAGAAAGAAATTTTATTTCCACGTGAGAACAGCCAGAAAGATATTTCTGTCACTTTTCGGAAATTAAAAATTGCCAGAAATCCAATCGATGTGTGAACAGCTAAAAGCGCTTTCAGAAATTTCCATGCAATCCGCCTTTCGGAATTAAAAAACCTTATGCGACTGCTTTCTAAAATTTCTCAATTTGACAGCCTTTTCGTAATATATTTCATTGCTACGTCTGACCCACTGGCAAGTATAAAAGCCAAAAGAAACCATGTAGAATTCGTTGGTATTTTTTGGTTATTTTTTATTTCTTAGTTACACAGGTTTCAGTTATGCATGTAGGTTAACACCTGTCTTGCGAAGTACTTTACATATATGTATAAGTTTATGTATATATATAGATCTTAGTTGTTCATCATTTACACAATATTTAATGTATACATAAAATGCATTTGTAATATTTAAGTTATAGTTACAATCTCAATTTTCACTTAATTATGCTACTTAAATTTTTAAACTGTTTACAGACACCCCACAATTTTAATCGATCCCTTACACATGTCTTCATAAAATATTTATCAGGCTAAGCCAGATATTAGATGATTATATGCTTTCTATCGCACCAAATCGGTGCCAACTAAATATTTTTTCACCTGTTTGTACAGGGTATTAAATCTATCATATCTAAATTAGTCAAAGATAAAAGTGAGAAATTATTTTAAGTATTTGCCGGTTTGAGTCAAGGTGACATCAAAAACATTTCATCCTAAGATATTCCCTTTTCACTCATCTAAACTTTGGAACGAGACGTCATTGTCCAGCCTTATGGCACGACCGTTTTCTTTCTATTCACAAACGACGTCGTCTGTTCCGCATTAGGGTTATCACAATTGTAGCGTCGGATCAGCAGCGCTAGATATTGCCAGCACTATTATAGAATTGGAAATTACTGAAATTCACCGGTGTTTTGGGGCTGGGACATTGATAGAAGTCTTCACTATGCAACTGCGTTTGCGTCATATTTGGTTCACTGGCACTGCGATGAATTTTCGGCATTGCTCTTAACATATTTTCAAGCATATTTAGTAGTGGCCGAAATAGAGGACGATCATTTCGATCAAATTTGATGCAATCTTCAGCCAGGCGTTTTAATGCTTGTGGAGCGTCCGAACGTACTTTAGTCATATCAGGTCGAAGGAGTCCGCGTCCCACCATAAATAGAATCTGATCTTTATTATTTATGTGGCTATATGGTAAGCATTCTGCTAAGAGTTCATACACAACTATTCCAAAAGCGTACACGTCAGATTGAAAAGAGTATGGGTTTTGTTCTTGCATGCGTATCACTTCTGGTGCCATCCACAAAATACTCCCAGTTGGTTGATTAGCCTGCTTTTCGCCAGACCAGCGTGTCTTTGC